CTAAGATGAACTAATAAAAAGATTTTGGCATTTGTTATATAAACATTCAGCAGAAATTGAGAGAAACCTCAGTGTGAAAATCTGTTCAAAGTTAAGATTAGAGTCCTAATTTATGCTGTTGTGCAAGTGAGAGTAGGGGATATGTAATGCCTGTCATAAGAAACAGCAAATGACAGTAAGAACACTGGCGTGTCTGAAACACTTCTGTGCCAAAAGCTACTTTATTTGTAATTAGACCACCACAAAAATGATTTATTCTAATTTTAAACCCCATATTCCATTATAACATCCCCAAAATAACAGATTTGAAGCAAAAATCAAACTAAGAACATTGAAGCATAAAGAAAATACATCACCACAACAGAATCTCTACAGTGTCCCTCCATCTTCAGAACCACTATGCAATATTTTAGGTGGACAAGATAAATATCTGGCATTCAAGAATATTGATAGAACAAGTAGCCCTACACTGAGGAAGGTACTGGTTATTGTTCCTGGAATAACTCAAATTTAAAAACACGTAACTAGAATGCAATTTCCCCTTGGAAAAACAGAAGTAAATTGTAGATAAGCTATACTTAAGAGAAGGTATTTCCCCCAGCCTCATGGAAGCACCTTGCTTGAACAAAAGGACTTCAGTTTTAGCTGCCTACAGTAATCACATCCAGCAGTAAACCTTCAGTCACAAAAACCCAGCTCAGATGAATGCAACATGCATTTATAAATGAAAACTTCATTCATATTCACATTAAAAAAAAAGGACATTACTAAAGGATGACTGTTAGCCCTGCAGCTTAATAACACCAACATTAAGGTGGTACACTGAGATACATAATTTAATATCACCGGCAGGAAGAAAAGCAAGGTGAGCATACCAGAGGTGGGTTTCTATGTCTAAATTATGAAAAAAAAATGGAGTACAGTAAATGGCCTAGTGCAGAAGTAACTGAATGAACAACTAGGATAGTTGCAGGGAAACTAGTAGAATACAGACACAAAAGTCAAGGGAGGACAAGATTTCAAGACTGGGCATGATCAAGTGTCAAAAACAGCAGGGAAGCCAAGAAGGATGAAGATGAAATAGAGACCCTGAGACCTGGCCAAGAAAAGGTAATTAGAGATCTTAGGAGACACTTTAAGGGAGTCAGGATACCTATACTGAAGTCAACTTTAAAAACAGATCTGGGCTACATAGAGGATTTGCCACCCTTTAGTTTTGGCATTTTGGGTCCTTCCATGAAACAAAAATGAGTTGAGGCATCATGCTTTCACTGCTTAATACCAAGAGAAGCAGCATACAGAGTCTTTGAGTTCGATTTCACACTGTAATTAAGGAAGAACACCACTGATAATAACACCCAGATTTATGAAGTGTTTCTAATACTTTGGAACCCTTAAAAAGGATCAATACCCAATTCTTATATAAATAAGTCTTGCAAGGAGAAGAGCACAGCCCAAGGTCAGCCAGCACAGGAGCAGCAGAACCATGCAAAGAATGCAGATCTCCCAGACCAGTTCTCTACATTCAAATCTTGCCCATTTTCAGGTGAAGATAAAGTAAGTAGCTCTGAAATTGCTTTTAACAGTTGTGCTCATTTTCTCTGCAAGTTACTGATAGAGAGGAGGGTTGCTTTTTTTCCTACTAGGAAGAGGGAATGAGAATTCTGAAACTTCACTCCTTTGTCACCACAAAAAGTTCAGAATCTTTCCCAGTTGTTCTAATTTGAACTTTAAACAGTTATTACATATTTCCACTATCATCACCCACAGTCTTTACACAGTAAGGAGCATAAAAAATAATGAATTGGTAGTGTTAAAAAAAAAAAAAAGCAAATACTTCTTCCTCAAGGTATAAAAGCTCTCACTCCTCATCTCTCCCTCATTACTCAGTTTCTATTATACCTCAGTTCAAAACCAAGATCCTGATATGCTGGGAACAACCGGAGATTGTAAATGCAAGGATTTTTCCATTCTGATCAGCCAAAATCTCGTTAATCTTGAGGAAGTGGAGTGGAAAAGATAAGGTGGAAGAATGAACGTCTGATTACAAAGAGTCATTAGATGACCTGTATATCTTCAGAAGAAGCAAACTCCTTTTATTTTATATTTGTATAAAAGCAGGCTTCTTAACTGCTGACAAACAAATAAACAAAAACCAACCAACCACCCATAGTGTTTTGTGTCCACAAGTATTCTATCTAATGAAAGCCAACCAGGTCAAAATGCAGCTGCGGAAATAAGGCCTATGAAATAGGTAAAGAAAGAACTGCTGACAATAAAGCATCTTAGAAATGCTTGCTTTATAAAGAGGTAATTGCATTTTAGGTTTATGGAACCACAGGAGAGAATGACAAAAGGACAGTAAGGAAAATAAGATACAAAGAGCAGTAAGGAGAGAACTGGGATGAACAGTGGGGTATACAAGGAAATGAAATTAAAGAAGTAGGAAGGGTGGAAGCATGCTGAACCTTAAAGGTGAAGAAGAATCTGACTATGGCATGATGAAAAGAAGCCAGCAATGGGATTTGGGAAAGGGCTCGCAATGGTCAGCAACTTGCAGAATCCATACACCTTCTACCTTTAAGATACTTACTCATTTTAGGATGGGGTAGGGGACAAGATAGGTCAAAGACAGAAGGATAAAACAACTCAAATCTTGATAAAACACTACAGGCCACCACAGTAAATTGGTCCTGAAGTCTGTTGCAAGGTCTTCAGAAATACTGAGAATGTTTCAATATTCCATGCTTCTTTTCAAATGTAAACTGAACATTTTCCAATTCATTAACTGTGAAGACACATGGCAGCATTCTTTGCCTTCTCTCAATAACGCAGGCTGCGTTGAAATATGAAAAACTAAGGACAGAGAAGAAGTAAACAAAAGATTTTTATGTTCATCATATATCCTTTAGAACGAAGGGGGACAAATCAACAGCAGAATTTGCAATATTGACTCCAACTACCAAGCACTTATCATCCTTGTAAGACACATCAACTGGATATTCTTGCAGAAATAACAAGAGAAGCCAGCAACATAATGGTTTAAATGCTTTTCTTTAGGTTTCAGAGTTAACACAACTGGAGTTCAGGCATTTTAGGCTGTCCATTAAACTGGATGCTACTTTCATTTTCAAGGCTGCCTTCCAGATCAGATGTCTTAGAAACTGGGTTTTTTTTTTTGGTTTGTTTGTTTTTTTGTTTTTTTTTTAAAGTTTCAATTCATACAGCAACAGTTTCTGCAAACTGAGTACTACAAAACAGAGTTCTGAACATCATTGGTTACATTTCCAAGACTGGGAAAAACAAATAGAAAAATGAGTCCAAAAGAATTTCATCTTTTGGTTGCTAATGACAGAGATGCAGTTCCTGTCTGACAAATGTGTAAAATAAGATAAGCCTTCTCTTAGAGATCTCTGAGATCTCAGACTTGCTCTTGAGGGACAACTGTCCATATCACAGTTGCAATTAATCATATTTCCCTTCTGACACTTGAAGGGCCAAAGATCCAAACTGTGACGCAGACTGAATCTCCCACTAAATAAAGGTCAGCTGACATTTAGGGGAGGATGCAAAGATACCAGTACCTCTAGATTAAGAAAAAACTTCTCCAGAGACACAAGCAGCATTCAGCTCTATTTTTATTGGGGAAAAAAAAAAAAAAAGTACTGCATTTGTCAAAATCACATACTGGATGGGGAAGCAATATCAAAACCCCTTAAATTGTTTATCCTGCTTCATTTGAAATTCTCTGACTCCTGATCTGACCCTATGCATTTGCCTATATATTTCAAGATAAAATCCAAGGAACTTACAGAATACATATTTGAATAATAATACAAATGTCCTTCAGTAACATAATCCTTTCCCCATAACTCTCCAGATTTTCTTATTTCATTTTTACTTTAGGGCCTGACATACAATCAGTTCTCATAAACAGATAGAGTGCACACAGGGCAGAACTATAAACTGCTTCAACTATAAAGTCAACTTTTGGAAATATGAATGACCAAATTTATATGTACAAATCCATACAAACATCTAGGAGTCTCTGTACTACAATACTAATATCTTCATTGCTTCTGCTGAATCACTTATGAGAATATGGCTATTTACTTAGGTATCTAAACATCGGCTTTAGAAGTCTAAGTTTAGGTCTTTGAGTTTAATATTCTTAATGTAAACTCTCAAAGACATAGCACTTTCAATCAAATGCATCTGTACACTACTTTGCACTTTTGTTTTAGTACACAATATTCATCATTTTTCTTTCATATACTTTAAAAAAAAAAAAAAAAAAAAAAAAGCAGAAAAGCTGCAGTATTCCATCTCAGAGGAAGCTACATTCAGGCCGTGATAAACATTTGATGCATATACCAATATTGTCACTGAAAATCTATGCTCTTTAAAAATCATTCCCTTCTTTGAATGTATCAGTATATCCTGACTTTAGTACAGTTGTGTTTTATACTATGAAATTTTCAGAGCAGAGATTGGCTTAAGTTCATGTATCTGAGTTAGCACTGAATGCCCAGTCAGCAATTAACAAATAAACAGCAAACAATTACACTAATGCACATGACTTTCAACCCTGGATGTCTGTCATGAATACTTAAAGCTCTGACAGAAAATTTAAAAAAATCTTAATCTTTAACACCATAATCAAGAGGGGAAAAAAGAGCATTTTCTATACAAGAAAAAAAATCACAGAGAGCAAATTTTCATAAGGTTGGCATGTATACATTCTGTGAAGTGCTCTGGCACCCATCAGAGCCAAAAGCAATTGAAAAACGTCAAGTCATTACTGTGATCATGGGTGTAGAGCAAGGTAAATTAACCTCCAAGTATGAAAAGTCTGTTACCCCCCCCAGTGTACAAAGGCCAAAATGCCTCAATTATCTCTTTCCTTGCACTAGATAACACTGTACTCAGAACAGGTTGATTGCATAACTATAAGACAACAGGTAGGAGAGCATCTAACAATATCCACAAAACATACATACGCTTCTTGATTCAGTCTTCCTTTAGAAAGGGGCATCTTCTCAAGCTAAGAATAACTGTCAAAATTTCTAGCATAAATTGGGAATCACTTTGGATGAACCTGGAGGCATTTTCAGTTTGATCTTACTGATAAATTACACCAAGTTCTTTCTTCATGGACTCCCTGTTAACCACGGTGATCCCAAATAGATTCTGAAAGGGTTCCTGTCCTGGTCAAATGCCCTTTGATCTTGGATTTCCTCACTGCAGAACACAAACATAAATATCTCAGGTGAGATACCCTTAGACTTGATTCTTCTCCCACAGGAATCTGCTGTGGTCTCATTTGAGATAAATTCTATTTTAAACTTTTTTTTTTTTTTTTTTTTTTTTTTTAGGAAGTCACTTCAGTGTCAGAATACTCATTTGAGACTGGAATTAACTGTCTCATCTACAGAAAGCAACTAGCTTGGCTCATCACAGCATCAGCATTACCATTCACATTCCAAGCTACTGAACACAGCATAAAACACACAGGAAGACTACAGAATGGCTTATTTTTGCTTTCTGAGAAGGTTCCACTACCGTTATTCCTAGACCCCGAGCACAACAGTACAGTACCCCAAACACAACAGCACTCTCAAGGGCACTCTACTAGAATTTATCCTACAATCTCTACGTACAATAGGACATGCATCCCAAAGCACTAGCTCTGAGATCTGTATGTTCAGCTTCCAAGCACAGTATAGTACGCAGCCCATAATCACTTCATTCCCATGGTTATTCACACAGTAGTGCACAAATGAAGAACTGACACTCCCACCCCATGGGTGCATCCTTGAACACTAGCACTATAACTCACCATTTGTGTCTCTCCAGAATGTTTTGTTTTTTGTTTTTTTTTTTTTTTGACAATATTATCCTTCTCAAAGATGCCTAAATGGCAGAAAATAATTCCATGCCAGTGACGATTAAAGGCTGAGCCTAGGATTAATACAGCATTGCAAAAAAAGTATAAGGGAGAGGATAAAGGTTTCTTGGAATTGATTAGGGTTAAGGTATCCAAGAAAACTAAACAATGAAAGAATTAGATCAATTCCACATACTGTAAAAGATTGCCAAATGAGAGAAAGATGCACACAAAAAGGCTTGTGAGAGGTTCAGGAACAAAAGGAGAGAAAAAAAAAAAGATTAAAAGGAAAGCAGGTACAGCGACAAAGATGTTGGAAATAAGGATAATAAGCAAAAGAGAAGGACCTATAGGAATAGGAGGAGATACAGTGCAGTCACTCACTCTGTCTGGAAGATTTTTCGGGAGGGAGGCGGATTATCTTCAATGTTGGTTTCTGGGGGTGCTGCTCTTCACACTTCTTCTCTGAGAACCATCCTCAGAGAGTCTCCCAAGAGCTTCTTCAAGAAATATTTTGAGAGCAAGGGGATTGTGAACGAAATCAGAATCTTGAGTATTAAAACAATCTGCTTGGAATCTTCACTTTCCTGAAACTGATGTTTTTATTCCTGGATGGAGATCCTCTCTCAGTTCTGGCAGCTAACTACTGTCTCCCTTATGAGAAAGCCTTTTCTTTTCCTCACTGACTGCCAGATTAGGGATATTGGTCTTAAATAATCTCCATACCTGGAAGTCTCTCTTCTTTTTCCTGTAGGCACACCTTGTCCTTAAGGGTGGGCAAATCTCTTTCTCTAAAAGAACTGTCAGTTCTGTGGATAATATCAGTAAAAACTGTGTAAAAACAGTGGCAGACAGCAACTGGAAAAGGGAAGAACAGTACCCAAATCTGGTTGTGCTTTTTCTCCCTTGTTTTACTTTCTCTGCTGTCTATTGACCAGACGTAAATAATTAAAATTACTAGGTAATTATCTGGAGCTCCTACTTATTTCTATTTTGGAAACTGCCTCTCTTGTGCATATGAGGTTTCTTCTGTCAAGGCTCCCCGTTTACTATCTGGTCTAGAAAAGAGCTTGTTAAGGGCTGGGTCCTCACTTGAGGAAAGAATTCCCTCACCCAGCAGCTAAGTAGCAAGGGGAGTAGGTAGTCAGGGTTATTCTCACAACCCTCAGAAACTGGGGAAATGAGGATCCTTCTCACTTACATAGGTATCAAAGGATCTCCAGCAGGTTTTCTTCCACCTTGTGGAAGAGTAGATTTTCTTCTCTATCAGGATTTAGTGCTGTGCCCTTTGCCCGTTCTCAGCTAGTTAGCGGGGTTGGGGGCCACTGTTAAGTTCCCCTTCGCTAGTTAACGTGGATAGGGCCGGAGGGTCCGCCCACGACAAGGGCCCGCCGGGTGCTCCGGCTGCGAGCAGGGCTGCCCAACCAGGTGCTTCCCTCCCGGCTGCGGATGGAGCAGGCGGGCAGTCTCTCCCCCACCCCAGCAGGCTACGGGGGTGTTCCCCCACCCCGGCTGCCCGGAGGCCGTCCCTGGCTTCCCCCCAGGCCCCAGCTCCTCTTGCCTGGGCCCGACTACCACGGGACGCCACAGCGGCTCGCGAAACAGAACAGTCGCCTCCGCCGCCTTCTGCTGCGCCTCAGCTTCGTCTCCAGAGGGCTCCCCGGGCTCTGGGGGGGCCCCAGCCGAATGGCGCTGAGTCTCTCCAGGCCCCACCGCTCCCGCAGCTGCTGCTCCGGGCTGCGGCTCCACTGCAGGCCCCGACTCCTCCCCGGCCTCCGCTCCGCCTCCCTGAGCTCCCCTCGGCCGCTGCCACCCCCGCCTCCCCGGGTTAAGGAGGCGCCGGGCTGGGGCTGTGTGAGAGTGTCCGGAGAGACATAGAGTGCGTAGTTTATCTCGAGGAGCCCGGTGGCTCAGAGGACGGGGACCCCCGCTGGCAACCCAAGCCTCGGCCTTCTCAACGTTGCCGTTGCCCCCCGGGGCCTTGCTTCGCCCCAGAGCTACCTGCAGGTCGTTGGACCCTAGGCCCTTTGGGCACTGACAGAGGAAGCTTCTTGTTGCATCTCCCAGCCTACTGGGACAGCTGTTGAGGCCCCTGCATAACTGTCACTCACCCAGACAGTGTTCATCTGCTCCAGCTTTAGGACACAGGCTCATCCCACCCACCTGATGCTGCTTCCAAATAGTCACTTGCCTTCACAGCCCTCACACCTCTGGCAGATGACCTGCTGCCTTGGATGGGCCGCTCCCCATCATCTTTTTGGCAGAAATGTCATTTTGCCCCTCGATCATGTAATAACTGTCATGCTCCCACCCAGACACCAAGTCTGCTCCTACCCCCCTGAAAATTCCATTCCATTCTTCATTTTTAATAATCTTCCCTCACACTATGTATTTATCAATAATCTGCCACATTAATTTCCTCAAATTTTAAGAGGCATCCACAACCCTCTTAAAATCTTGTTGTTGCCCCTTCAACATGTTACAATCAGCTAAAAACATACATAAATCCCTATGGATTACGTACAATGTTGTCTCATTTTCACCTACCTGGCTAAAGTGAGTTTTGTGTTGGTATGTTGCAAAGCTCATTTTGGAGATGCAGACTAAGACAACTGTCCATTATTTCAGAAAATTAAAGGAGACTTTCCAGTGAAGTAAATTATATAATAGAGCAAATACTCCAAAATGCATGTGGGAGAAAGAATAGCCATTGTGGGAGATCCCCCTTAATCTAAGGCCAGTTATGTAGGCAGACCACTACCACACAGACATCTGAAATGTACAAACATATAGCAGCCTCAGGTTCCCTACCTAACATGTAAGATTCACTGTATTTTATAATCTCTTCTTTCAATAGCTAGTTTCTTGTTTGCATTTCTCTGAACACTGACAGTGCTATAAGGCATGGAGACATTAAACAAGAGTAGGGGAAAAACTGCATTTTCTGAGTAAATTTTATCTTTCATGAACTGTAATATGAGAACAATGTCTATGATGGTAGAGGGACTGTTGTGAGATTTAATGCTTTTGCAGGGCTTACTTTATTCTTGTATCTGTTAGAGACTCCTTGCACACTATCAACAGGCCAAAATCTATGCCAAACTCCCATGCCTTCATTTCAGAATGAATTAACACTCACAGGAATTAACACACAACCCCCATTCTCTCAGGGAGCTTGTGCTCTTCTCCCAGACCAAATCTTTGTTTTACTTTTATGCCAGCAGTCCATGAACAGGCAGTAGCTCATTTCCCAATGGTGTTATCTACTCTCCATCAAGGAGGAGGATTTCTTGTCCCTTTATCCATATTACCTTCTCATTACAGATCACTTTATAGTCTTCCCATTCATTACCATGGCCAATACCCGTGTCTTTCCTCTCACCTCCACGGGCCACGGCACAGCCCTGTCCCATTCTGGTTTTTTTGTTGTTTTTTTTTTTTTTGTTTGTTTGTTTGTTTGTTTTTTTCTCCACAGTGTCACTCCTGCTCTGGCACCTGAGCTCCTACACCTTTTGCTTTCTGCCTGCCCTTAGGACCGCTCCTCACAATCACAGCAGCAGCCCTGCCCCGCCCCAGGCATGCACCCATTGTTCAGCAACAAACAAACCATCAGTGTGCTGTTGATGCTGTCTGAGCTGAAACCAGGGCACCAAGAGAGCATAGTACAGTGCCAACTCAAATTATGGCAAATAATATTCTGCATTTTGATACACTGGCTAAACACAGACCTGTGAACAGAGAAAAATATGCAGCCATGCTTTCTTTCTTGATACAGGAATTTGAAAATAAGCTCCAGGATTGAAAAAAAAAAAAAATCATCAGGGTTTTTTTTGTATATTTGCAACTTTATTTTCATTCAACATAAATACATTTTTCAAATGGAATGTATAGAGTTGCCTTCAGATATTCAACTCAGAAATATGATTGTGTCTTTTCACCAAAATTTTATAAGAGAAAAATATCCCTTGCTTCACAGTCATACTTTATTCATGTCATCGCTTTTGGCAGTATGCACATTTGTGAGCAACTGCTGTCAAGGATGAAGAACAGGAAGAGTAAAACCTTGCAAAAGTTTTCTGATGAGCACTTTGAGACCTCATGAAGAATTGCAGCCACTGCCATTGAACCACACTGATGCTTTAGGTTCACAAAAACAAGGTCAAATATTCCACTAGCTTTGTTTTTGCTGCTTTCTCTCTTTTTCTAAAATCACCTTAATAAAAATATTAAACGTTGAAAGTGTTTTAATACTTCTACACATTAACTATAGTATATATTTTATGAGAGCTGCTCCATAAGTAATGCCTCCTATTTTATTATGTTGGCCCATGATGTCAGAGGTGGATGTTGGCAGTATGGCAGTAGTGGCTGAACCACCCAACAATATTCCATTAGATTTTGTTGCCGTGCAACAGATGGCAGCAGAGGGGAAGTCTGACAGAATGGTATCTGCCACTGAAGTGTATATGAAGCAGAAGTGTGTCACTGAACTCCTCTATGCAGAAATTAAAGCACTCACTGACATTCATCGATGCTGAAAGTTAATGGAGACCAAACAGTGGATGTGAGCACAGTGAGGCAGTAGGTGGTGCATTTCAGCAGTGGCAACGGTGGGTCACCTCTACTGGTGCAAGTTTTGACGAGCATGGCATCCAGGCTCTTGTTCATCACTGGTGCAAATGCATAGCTAATGGTGGTGAGTATGTTGAAAAATATTGTTTTGTAGCTGTGAATTTGCTCTAACAAGCAGAGTTACCGTGCTCATTTTATCTTTTACAGTTTCCATGGCAATAAATAGGATAACAACCTACATATGTGCAGTCCAAGACAATTCTTCTTCACTCAGTGTGGCCCAGAAAAACCAAAAGGTTGGGCATCCATTCCTTGGGACACATCTTAGAGCTAGATGGTATTCATTACACCCTGCTATTTCCATACAAAGCCCTACAGTCCTTCTCTAGCTAGGATCTGTGTCCATATTGTGCATAGACTCCTTATGACTCAAAAGACAAGACAGAAGCACCATTTTGCTGAGAGGCACTGATGAGAGGTATCTGCATATTGTTCAATCTATAGCCAACTGCAGAGGCATTGGAAAAACGTAGCTGGACTCGATACACTCCAGGCATCCCATTTGTGTTTCCTATTTATTTTCCCTTTAAGTTTTTATTGTCTTCTTCACCAAATTCACACCTAAAATATTCCCTGCTTTTTATAGGCACCAAATGATCTTACTCCACTACTTGAAAGAACATAAATACAAAAATGACATCAAATACAAAAAGGGCCTTTGAGAGGCAGCTATGCATTGCAGAAACACATAGAATCATAAAACCACCAAGATAGGAAAAGACCTCCAAGCTCGTCTAGACCAAACATCCACAGTATAGAGAAGGGTCCAAAACTGAGCACAGCACTCGAGGTGCAGGTTCACCAAAGCTGAGCACAGGGGGGTGATCACTTCCCTGTTCCTGCTGGCAACTCTGTTTCTAATATCAGCCAGGATGCCACTGGCCTTCTTAGCTATCTAGGCACACTGCTGACTCATGTTTAGCTCAGGATTGACCAACAGCCCCAGTTCCATTTCTTCTACACAGTCTTCCAGCCACTCTGCCCCAAGCCTGCAGCGTTGCCTAGGGTTGTTGTGGCCAAAGTGCAGGACCTGACACTTGGTCTTGTTGAACTTCATCCCATTGGCTTCAGTCCAGTGATGTTGCCTGTCCAGGTCCCTCTGTAAGGCCTTCCTACCCTCAGGGAGATCAACACGTCCTGGTGTCATCTGCTTACTGAGACTTACTGAGGGTGCACTCAGAGCCATCATCCGGGTTATCAATAAAGATATTGAGCAGGACAGGCTGTCTCCCCCAGTACTGACTGCTGGAGAGCACAACTCATCACCAGTTGCCAACTGGATTTAACCCCATTCATCACCACCCTTTGGGTCTGGCCCTCCAGCCAGTTCTTTACCCAGCAAAGAGTGTGTCTGTCCAAGCCATGGGCTGCCAGCTTCTCCAGGAGAATGCTGCAGGAGACAGTGTTAAAGGCTTTGCAGAAGACTAGGTAGAAATTAATGGATCATGACCCCATTATCATATTTAGTGTTCTCAAAGCCAAAAGAGCCATCCCAAAGCTTCTCCATACTAAAAATATAGGAGGACAGATTGAAAAAAAAAATGCCACTTGGACTGAATTGCTCATGCTTACTATATATTGAGTTGCTCTCCATCATATTTGGAAAATCATGGCTGTCCAATAAAGTCCCCCATGACTGGAAAAAGGGAAACATTACTCCCATTTTTAAGAAAGGGAGAAAGGAAGACTCATGGAACTATAGGACAGTGAGTCTAACCTCTGTGCCTGGGAAGATCATGGAGCAGGTCCTCCTAGAAGCTATGTTAAGGCAGATACATACAAGACAAAGAGGTGATCCGAGACAGCCAGCATGACTTCTCCATGGGCAAATCTTGCCTGACCAATCTGGTGG